CTCCAGAACAGATCTCAGTCACAGACAATGTACTAACAGTAGAGAAATATGTACATAATAAATAATATAAAACAGAGCATATACATTTGTGAATTTGAAGGACTCCAGAAACAAGGAAGATCAATGGACTGATACACTACCTTCACAGTAGACTTCAGACACAGCAGTAATGAGTCAGAAGCTAGGCCGGGACTCTGCAGAGTGAGAGTCCTGAGGCCTTAACCTCCCCACTCCTTTCCGCTCTGGGAGTCTGAGACCAGCCGTTCCTATCCGAGGGGCCTGAGTCCAACACGAAGGCACCCAAGCCCCCCTGGTCCATCCGATAGTCCTCTCTAGGGTGAGTTTGAAGAAGAGTCTGGCCCCAAAAGAATCCCTTTCTAGTGACTCCACGTCAGTCAGATGTGGATGGGCAAATGCCAGAAGCCGGCCTGCCAAAGGAGGCAAGACAGTACTCCCATCATTCTTCCAATTTGGTCATGTTTAAAACACTCCTAGGTATTAAAAATAGAAAACATGTATTCACTCAAGTCATAGAGTACATGCCGGCTCTGTGTACATCGGAACCTTGGCATACAAATGCCTAGAATTCTACTCTTGTGCCACTAGAACCTTAATTGTCATGTTGCTTCAAGAACAGCCTGGTTATTTCCCATCAAAAGCTATTTAAGACAATTCTAATGAGATGATGTCAGTGGCTCTAGCACATCCTGAGAGAAAGCTTACTGGGGCTGAGCCAACCACTGAGATCTAAGAAGCAAAAAAGGCCCAGGCCCCCCCCCCCCCCCCCCCATGAAAAGCTGTGGGAGAAAAGCGGCTCCAAGCTCTGCTGTTGCCATGAACTGCCATCTCCTCCCTCCTGCCCTCAGGGCTGACCAGACAACAGGAAAAACAAAACAAAACAAGCTGCAGTAGGAATGAAGGCCCTTCTCAGCCTTGAGGGATGGTAACATCAGCAGGCTGGGCCTGGGCACCGCCACTCACCCCCAAACAAGACAACGAACCTCTCCGCTCAGAATTTTCTGGACTACCTCTCCTATCAGCCCACTTGAATACAACAGAAATATGAGAAGATAAAGATCAGCAAGTGGCCCTGAGTTATAAAAATTGAAAGGTTTCTGAATCCCCAAGTCACTTCCATGCTGAACTAAGTCCCCCCTAATTCTGGGCTATCCTACCACCCACCCAGAACAGAACAAATCGGAATGAAACCTGACCCAAGACAAGACCTGTGTCCTCAGCAGGAAAGAGCACTGACCAAACCGCACACCTGCACTGCGGCTCAGCCTTGGCGTCCTCGCCTTGCAAGAGAAACGAGGGGAGCTGTTCCGGGCCCTGCCAGCCGGGAGTGTGAGTCATGCGATGTGCACCAAGCCAACCCTCTCTGGTGGTCTCTTGCTTGCAATCCCAGGGAACAAGGTGAACACCTCCCTGTGCCAGCCTAGGTCAGGCCTCTGCCGGGCTCACCCCTGGGAACATGGGAGGCATGTTGGTCTCCTGGCCCAGAAAAGAGGGAGATGGTCACAGGTCCCTGGCTGGCTTTCAGAAGATGACGGTGGGTTTTTTGTTTCTGATCAGCCACACACATGCTCAATCAGCCATGGCTACTTAGGCCTGCCTCTCAACCTGAGAATTTGAGGGCAGAAGTTCATGATCCCTGCTTAGCCCAAATACCTGTTGCTTCACTGTCTATGGAAAATGAATTTCTACTTGTATCTATTTTCCTAGACTGAAAAAGCTGGTCCTTTCGTCGTATGGTCTTGGGATAGCACAGGTAATGTAGTCACAGTAAATGTTTCATATTGATGGTGTGGAGTTCTGCACTCCACATTTGCACACAAGTTCCTTGAAATAACTGTAGAAAATAGTCAGATGCCCTGCTCCCTCCCACCTGGGGAAGCCAACTATTGTCAGCCTGGGAAGTGAGGGAGGAGGAACAGAGCTGAATGGGGTGCCCTTTCAAATTCAAACTCTGTGAGAATTCAAGGCGTATGCTAGTTGGTTAGCACCCAATATCCAGGAACAAATCTTAAAGACTTGTTTTTCTAAGAGTTTAAGTACATGATATTGGACATTCCTGATAATATAAAACAGGGAAATAAAGGGAGAGAACCTCTAAGGCAGTAGGTAAAAAGCCACTTTCCTTTCTAAAAAAGCTGACAGTCCTAGGAACATCTGGATATTCAATCCAGTTCTGTTTGAACCTTTAGGGTACCAGGGAGGCTGCGTAGGAAGAGGTTCCACAGCGGGGGCCACGGAGGCCATGGAGGGAGGGGCCCTGGGTCCGACAAGGGCTTCAGCGGAATTCAGGACCAGGACCTGCATCTGCCACAGCCCCCGCTCCAGGCTTCCACTGCACAGCCCCAGGACGCGCCGCGGGTGCTCAGGACTGGCCACTGCACAGGCGACCTGAACTGTGTGTCCTCTGCCCCGCTCCCGCTTACTTCCCAGACGGGGACTGTACAGACCTTCTGGGCCAGAGTCGTTCTCCCGCTGCCCAGGGAGGCAGGGAGCGAGCACTTCTCCTTCTACAGCCTGAAGTCCCTTCCTGAGAAGGGGCCTGGAAAAGAAGCCTGTGGCCCCCACCGTTATTGGAAGGGTCTTGAGCATTCCCCGAAGCAGATGTCACCGTAGCCACTGCTAACCTCCATGCCTTTCGGGGCCAGACAGGAATGACTTCTTATTCTCTGTTATAAAACGGCGTGAATGGTTAAAAGAGCGGTTTATAGGAACACACAGGGAGGTTAAAGCCCATCCTGGAGCCCATGCAAAGCCAGCCCTGCCGGCACCTTCAAGAGGACAGAGCCCCGTGCTGAGCAGGTAAGGGATTAAGAAGCTCTGCTTCTCCCTGAAGTCATGGAGGCAGCAGCTGCACTCAATCCTTTCCGACTCTCACTGAGCTTTAGGGTTCATAAAAGGAATTGGGGGGTGGGGGGGCCTCTGAAAAGACCCCACACAGTAACTGACTGCAGAGTACCTTCCTGCTGTAGCAGGGCCCAGGGATAGGCTGTGTGGAGAAGCAGGCCGGCCGGGGGAGGCTGAGGGGCCAGGATCCTCAGGGACAGAGGAGCCTCAGCTGGGCTCCCCAGGCCACAGTGAAGGCCAGTGCTGGCCGGGCCGAGGGGCATGGCTCCGGGGAGATGCTCCTGCCCAGCACGGCCCAGGCTCCACTTCAGGGACACTCATGTCTGCATACCCTACACACAGTCCAGTTCCCGTCACACTGGGTTGCACTCAGCTAGATGCATCTTAAAGATTTAAACTCGGATCAAAGAAGCCTCCCCAACCCCTACCCTCCCATAGCGCAAGGCTCCATCCCATGGTGGCAGGTTGGGGCCAGCAGGCCACATGGGCCCCTTAGGGGGTACCCACCTCCGAGACCCTCTACCACAAGGTGAGGCCAGCACATCCCTCACTAGGGCTTGGCACAGAATGAGGAAAACACTCCAAGACTGAAACCCAGAGGAAATCCTCACCAAGTGTGCATCTGGCACCGGAGACATCCCTCTGCTCGCCAGCACGCGGCTGGTTACTCCGCGGCGGCTGGTTACTCCGCGGCGCCACTCCCGCCCACGCGGGGCCCACGGAGACAACGCTATCCTTGTGGCCAGTGGCTGGAGGCAGCGTGGACAGACATTTCTATTAGAAAGCCAGTCAGTAGGAACTCACTTCAGGGTTGAATGTTGCCAACAAAATGCACACATCCCTCGGCTAACACTTAAAACACAGGTCAGACAGTTAAGAATGAATCCCTCAAGTAACACCTCCTTGACATTAATCTCACTACACGCGATGGATTTGATATTAAAATCAGACACACACACACACACGGAAGGAATGGCCACAGCACACATTTGGTTTCTGAATCCTTGGAGAGGCGGCCTCTCTGGCGTGGCCCCGTCTGAGCCGGGAGGCACAGGCCCTCGGGCAGGGACACAGCCAAGACCAGACCCCATGGGCCCAGGGACACAGGGGAAGAGGGACAGTTGGCTCCCTGGGAAGGGGCAGGGGCTGGCAGTCCCTGAAGTGCCCTCCTTTAGATACATGGACTTAGAGACGCCGAAGATCCAACCCCTTCCCGACAAACACACCCAGTGGGAGGGAGGAGCCCAAGCTCCACACGCGTGTCTCCTCGGCGGCCCCATGGACGGTCTCCATTTGGCATCCGTGTAGCAGCATTTCGGGCCAACAAGAGCAGGCGGGGAGGCAGCCTGGCCGCCCGAGATGCCAGGCTGTGGGACGTCGGGAGGAAGTCACCTTGCCTCTTGCCAATGATAAACCATGGGCTTAAAATTCATTAACATTCATTTTGGTGATAAAAATTCCTTAAGAGTGGGAGCAAAATCACATTCCAAGCACATGTTAGACCTTTCGGAGGGAAAGGGACACAGTTAAACATTAACTTAGAACAACACTGAGCTCGGAGGCGGCTGCAGGTCCCCGTGCAGGCTCCACCCGCAACGTCCCAGACTCGGCAGGTTCGCGCAGCAAGGCTTCCTTCCTTTGTCCTTCACGTTCGACAGCGCCACCCACTGGGGCACAGAGGAAGGGGGCCACGGAAGGCCCTGGAGGGGCAAGTCCATCCTTCTGGGGTCACATCATGGGGGTCACAGCAGAGTTCAGGCAGGACAACTTAAAACTCTGCAAAAGACATTCTAAAAACATGATCTCTTGAAAAAAAAAAAAATCCCAACAATTTTCAACTTCATGCAAATCAGAGGAGGAGGAGAGTGAATAATAAAAGGTACAGCTGAAAAAATAAACATGATTCTATTTGGGTGGAAGTTCATTTCCAAAATCTCAAACACCAAACCCCAGCCCTCGTGTCCGCTCCTGCCCTCACCGGCCTCCTCTGCTGCTTCCAGGGAGCGGACAAAGTCTTTGGTCTCAGGATGTTGCAGGACGCAGCATGGCACACAAGCTCACACTAATGGGATTCACTGTCGGACGGGCGAGGCCACGTGGCCGGGCCCAGGGTGTGGGGGGAAGGACCTAGAGGCGCCCTAGATGGCGCCTTCGTTGTGTAGGCTGTGATTGGCCTTCGTGTGCGTTACACAGTTCTGTTCATTGAGCAGGTTGGCCGTCTCGTCTGGCAACCCGTCGTGCAGCTCCGTAAGAGTCAATTCAATTTTAGTGTTTTCACTGTCCGAAGACTGAGGAGTTTTGTCCATCCGGGACGCCATCAAGGCATTTTGGTATTGCTGTCTTGAGATCTGGGGCCGGAAGATGGTACAGAAAACAAACCAAGATAATGCTTAGTGTTAGGCTCTCTTGCCTGGACATCGTGTTACACATTAAGTCCCCGAAAGGCCCCTAAGTTGGGAGAAAGTCAACCTGGAGGACAAACTGAGCCACTTGTCTTTCAATCAGAGAACATTTATTTGGAAAGTCACAGAGGTGGAAGAGGTGAGGAAGTGAGCTGGAGGAGGAATGGGCTCAGGAAACGAATTACAGAGGCAGGAGGAGGGCCCTTGGAGAGGGAGAGAGGAAGGGAGAGGCAAGGTCCCGGGGCAAGGGGAGGCGGGGAGGCGCAGGCATGCTCCCAGGAGCCAAGCGGAGCCACTTTTTTTTTTTTTTTTAAAGTTCAAGTTGACTCTGGTAAGCAAGTCAGTTTTTACTGATTTAAGCCATTTCCAAACTTTATTTCAAAGTTTCCCAAAGATTAGAAAACGGAGGTAGGCTTCCATCAGCTAAAGCTGGCTTGTCCTCCGAGAGGCGTCTTTACTTCAGACTAAGGAAAGGAGCCTGTCCCAGGGCAGGAGGTGAGTGGAGGGCTCTGCCCACTCCTTCCTGGCCAGTCTTCCGAGTCTCTGACCTCTGCCCTTTCAGGACCAAGCGAGTCTCTGGAGTCCGAGCCCGTGAAGACTGGTGAGAGGTTGATTCTGTCTCTTAGGTCTCCAGCTCTCATCCCCTCACACGGCCACATCTGATCTGGCAGCTCATTGGACAGGGAGAGCCAAGGACATGCATGTGTTTCCCCACCTGAGTCCTGGGCACAGTAGCTGGAGGCAGGGCACCCAGAAGGACAGGGGACTCAGTGGAGGGGCTGGGGTGCCAAACGGCTGGCTGTGGATCTGACCTCGAACTTCCAGGTCCAGCCAAGCGGCTCCCTCTGCTCTTACCTTAACGAACTGGAGATCGGAAAGGGCGCGCACTGAGTAGTCTGGGATGTAGACTTGGAGGAAGGAGGAGTTGAGCTGATTGTGGCTGCTCCCCAGCGAAGGGGTGATGGCATCCATCCGGTCACTTCGACTGAGAGAGTCCGAGTGATTCAAGCCACATGGCCGAGGAGGGGACTTGTTTTCACCTGGAAATGGAGAGAAACAACACCACCCAACCACTTCCTAAGTGAGGTAGCTACAAGCAATGAAGGCAGCCCGGTGTTTTCCAGCTAATAAGATGGAAGTCATTAGCAGACAAGCCTAACCCACTCCTGCCTGACGCTGCCTGCAGGAGCTCGCTGCTTCCCTCAGCGACGGACTCCATGGCGGTCAGCTGCGCAGCCTGTCCGAGGGCGGGACCGTCCTCCCATCTCCGCCAGCACAGGCCCCGCGGTGCACGCCCCGTCAGGACCGAACGCACAACCCAGGGAGGCACAGCCCAAGCCAGGAGCAAAAGCAAAGGACTCTTGAGGATGTTCATGAATCGGAATGTTTTAAAGGGATTACACCCTAACTCCCAGCCAAAGCCATTATCTTTGTCTCTGACTCCAGCAGGCAGTCTGAGATGCTCAACACGAGGAGACGGTAAACCCTTGAGAGGTTTGGTTAAGTTGCTTTAGGCGCTGTGTGATTCTTCAGTGCGTTACGTCTAAGTGCGTTCCTCTTAAATGCAGGTTTACCACTGCTTTTAACACAGATTTCATTTAAAATAAGACCTGCCCCCTTGCCAGGCCTCTTTCGTGTTTGCTTTTCCAATCTAGCCCACAGCTATGAACTGGTGCCCATCCCGGACAGTCCTGAGGTGCACTGTGTCCTAGGACTGGAGGGGACCAGTTCTCCCACCTGAAGGTCAGCTCCTCTTTGCAATGAGTTCTGACAGCTGCTCCCACAGAGCAGCTGCCCTCAGCCGGTCCCACCCTTCAGCTATGGGATGATCTACCATCTGCACCCCCAGCTTCATATGACAATCCCCCAACCCCCCTCACTCTATGGAGCTTTTGTTCCCTGCCCTTAAAAGCTCAAAGACAGTATGCTCTCCTTAAATCTCTTCTTCTCAAATACTTCAGCTCACGTGTACCACCCGTCATCCCATCCCAACCACCATCTGAGATTTCATTCGTAAATGTCCTTCCCATAACGACGCCCAGAACAAACATGGCAGCTACTTGAGGAACGTCAAATGAAGAGTTCACTTTCTGCTAAAATTTTCACGTCACCACTTTCCCCACCGCTTCTCACTTTTAGGTCAAAATTAAACTCATAGTGGCAGTTCTTGTTGCTTCCACTTATCTTCTAAGAGAAATTGGCAAATTAAACATTTATCAGATGTTTTCTGTTTAGCAGAACAGAGCTTTGATCAGATGTCCCAACATTGCAAAGCCTCCGATTCCTTACCTGCAAAAGGCAGATAATAATGGTACCACCTCCTGGGGCTGATGAAGATGCAAAATAAGATAAGGGATGGAGTGCTTAGCGCAGCATCTGACGCCGATGAAGCATCGATAGGTGAGCCTGGGTAACAGGACTGTGTTCTTTCCTGTTAGCTCCTCCCTCTCCACCGCGCCTGCCCTCACGACCAAGCCTTTCCTAATGGTGGTACTTCACCCAGGCTGGCAGACCCCTCGGCTCTTTGAAACAGGAGATGCCACTGTACCCCCGAGTTTCTGTCCAAAGTCACGTCACCATTTCTACGGACACCTTCACAATGGCGTTTCCTTCTGTGTGTGACAATCTGAAGGCTATGAAAATGAGACATTTGCTCTCTGACCAGACGCTGTGTGCTGGCAGGCTGACGCCAGAGGCTGGTGCAGGACTCCGAGCCTCCCGTTACTCTGTCCTGAGGAGGACCACAGGCCATTTCCTCTGGCAGATCTAGACTCCCCTCCACCCAGTGCCTGGCCTCACAGCCACCGTCTGGAGCAGCCCTCCCTCAACATGCAATGACATGTATGTATGTCCACTGAAAGGAGAATAAAGACACTGTATGGCCTTCCTCCAGTTCAGGTCATGTTTTGTTGCCGAATTTATGTGCCAAGATTTTAGACAATTATGAAAACAACTTTCAACTTAATTCCTCTTTATGTCTTCTCAGAATTGTTTCCTCTCTGCTTTTTGTCTTGCCTTTTAAAATGCACCCTACCTAGGCATCCTCTCCGTTTGCTAGTAAGCTAGAGATACAATAAAGAGACGTTCCCGGCCTCTCCCCTGGAACCCAGGCACCTGTGGAAGAGGCTGGGAACACCCGGTTTAATCCGCCCTTTTCTGAGGAGTCGTGTTCCGGTCCTGCTGGCATCCCTGAGTCCCGGGCCTGCAAATGCCGCTTTCTGCTACTGCCTCAGGCTGAGTGGGCACAGCTGACAAATCTCAAGTTTTATGGGAAATGTGAAAACATAAAAGACATTTCCACGAGCTCCAAAAAAAGTCATTCCATGTCAGCTTTTGTGGCATTTTAAATAGGTGGCAGATGCCAGCAAATAAAATGAGAGAAAAAATCATGCATACATACATGCTAATGTGCATATATGTATGTGCACATTCATATGTGTGTATGTATAGTCTGCCAAGTGTTTTCATTCAAATAGCCTATGAGCAAGGCCAGTGTGGCTCAGTGGTTGAGCATCGACCCATGAACCAGGAGGATTTCACAGTTCGATTCCCATTCAGGGAACATTTGAGGGTTGTGGGCTCGATCCCCAGTAGGAGGCATGCAGGAGGCAGCTGATGGATGATTCTCTCTCATTGATGTTTCTCTCTCTCTCTCCCTCTTTCTGAAATCAATAAAAAAAAATATTTTAAAAGCCTTATGAATTATATATTATCCCCCAAACACCCTAAACTTTTCAAAGCAAAAATCTGAGGGAACATTAGTTTCTAAGACAAATATTGCCTCCTTTACTAAATACCAGCATTTCAGAGTTTTGCTGAAATTGGCTTATCAAACACAAATTTCAACAGATTTTAAAAATCTAAGCTGTATGAAACAAAATAAATGCAGAAAAGTTGTACTATTGAATAGGGAAGCCCAGCAATTTTAATTAAAGGAAGATTAAGGCTTGGCCTTCGTTTTTAGCAGCTGGATATGTGAAACAGGCACGACCGACCCTCCTGCAGGGCACTCGCCAGCAGCTGGTTAGGAATGTGCAGGGCACTAACTTCAAAACAAAGAGGGGAGACAGGAGCGGGCCGGCCCCCTGCCCGAGGACAGAGTGGGGAGACAGGAATGCTGTGGGTTTGCCATGGAAAGTGGGTCCCTCAGGCGTTCAGCGTGTGTTCTGTGGAAGCGTCCTCGGGCTGTGTGGTCTGTGGGGCTTCGGTCAGAGAAAGAACCAAAGTGGCCAGGGCTGCTCTGCAAACCCAGGGCGGCCAGAACCCCTCTTCCTTCCCGGCTCACACATTCACGTTCCCAGATTCCCTGCCAGCGTCCTGGGCCCTTCCTGCACCTGCTGAGGGCGTGTGTGTTCCTGGGAGCTCGGGGGAAGGCATGGAAACGGAGTGCTGGAGCTCACAGAAAACCGAAGCGGCTTCTCCTTGTGGGGGAGGGGCAGGGGCAATCAGAATACGAAAAGGAAACATGCAGAATTACCTGGAGAACCTGCTGCTAACAACTCTGTCCTGCTGACAACAAAGGTACGAGACAGGGACAAAGGAACTGAAAAATGGAGAAAAACAGGGTGAGACCACATCGAAAGGCAAGAAAGAGATCTCTGCAATCAGGGGACAGGAGTGGATACCGGTCCTACCGATACGAGCCAGTGGTCCTAGCACTGAAAGGCCTGGATGACATATGGACACAGAAACAGGACTCAGCTTTCTGGGAAGAAGGGCACGGGAGGCCGGAATGCTAGTCACCCAGAGCTCTCCTGCACCATCAGCCACACCCAAGGGGTCATCGCTCAGAACCGGCTCTTCTGACCTAAATCACAGCCAGGTGCCCCACCTGTGCCAGCACCCGTCACTCCCAGGACGGCCCACAGCATCCCTGTCTGTGGCAAGAAGTTAGCTCTTCAATTCACTCACACCCTTAGTTGGTCTGGTTCTAATTCTGACTTGATGCTTTGAACTGCTCTGGAATACTTGAGAGTTCCCAGTGTTAGAGGCAGGTATATAAAGAGCGATGGGCACACACTTCCTGGGCAGGACGGGCATCCTCCTCACCGACTCGGACAGGGAGCCACAGCCACCTGACCGCGTGCTGGGCAGGAGTCTTAGTTCCTGGGCAGGTTTGTTTTTCAAACTGAGACAGACTTGGCATCTAACTGGGCAGATCCCGGTAACAGCTTACTGTAGGGTTTTTCTAAGCAATCAAAATGGATAAACAATATTATCTTGCGATTACTGTACTAATTTGCATCTCTCGAACACGCAGAATCCCAAATCCAAATGGCGAAGTCAGGTAAAATCTGGGCTCTGTAATAAGATGCTATTGATGAAACCCCACCTTTCTGGCATTTCCAAACTCGCAGCAGCCCCGCCAGCTGTCATAGGAAAGCATGCTCCCAATTCCTCTTCGGAATGGGACCCTCACAGGAAGCCCCAGTCCCGTATCAATAAAAAGGCACAACTGACTCCCCACCTTTCTTTTCAAAACTGCCTTTTGAGTCCGATTCTGCTCACGTGGGCCCATTTGAGGCTGGTTGCCAAATAATCACAATGTCAACACCTGTCATTCCAACGCTTCCTCGTGTGCTCTAAAGGTTACAAGGCGAGTAAGCACCACCACGTCGATTCTTTCAACAAGCACACGAGGTAACCTCATATCCTCTTAACGAGGAGGAAGCCAAGAACCTTTCTCAAAGTCCGGCCACCGCATATGAGGGAGCTGGGCGGAACCGTGGTCTTCTCGGCCGGTAAGCACCTCCCCCTCCTCAGGAGCAGTGAACACAGATCACCTTCGCTCACGGCAGACGCCGCCTAAGGACGTGGGCAATAGGGCTACGTCCACACGGGTGTTCAGCACTGACGTGGGCACCGGCCCAGGTGACTCGCTGCCCAGCAAACTGCGAAGATGCATCGGGCAGGGGAGGCCTGGGGCGAGAATTCTTGACCTTCCCTGGCTCTCTAACCGTAACATCTCAGTGCCTGCGACATCATGTGGCACAGCCGAGGACCAACATCACAAAAGCAGACTTGTCTGGAAGTATCCCTCCCCTTTTGAGACTGGTTTTCAGAAGTAACTGGTTTTTAGGATGGGCTATAGCAAAAGTTTTCTAGTACAGCCTGTCATTTGACATTTTAGCCACAAGGTGGCACAACAGCACCTCTGTTTGCCTGTCTGCCCCATTCTACACACACACACACACACACACACACACACACACACACACAAGCACAGCAATGTCAATAGAGACCATTCAGGTGGGCAGGTACCCGTGTCCATGTCCCACTAGGACAGGCGCTGCTTGCTGGCATCCTGTGCAGAGCACTTAATGGCCCATGGCACAGCCACCCAGAACTGGCTGACTCTAGATACGAGCTGGCTATAGGCAATAAATATATATTAACCACCTCATTCATCCTCAGGAAAATGCAAATTGAAAAGCCTCCGGAGCAGTTAACATGTAGATGGCTCAGCGCTACGCGGTGCAGGGCACGGGGACTTCCCCAGGACGGGTGAGTGGGCCGCTCTGGCAAACTGCTGGGCAGCAGCTACTAAAGCGGAGAGATCCTCATACCCTGTGAGCCCACCACCCAGCCCTACACACAGACCAACAGAACGCACACACGCTCATGGAGAGAGGGCACGAGAGTGTCCACATTTCACAGCCACGGTCGCCCCAAACAAGCAACTACCCCAACGCCCATCAGCAACCGAGAGAACAGACGCAGCTGTCCTCCGGCACCGCGGAACTCCGCACAGCGGTGAGGAGGAGTGCAGGGGGAGACGGGGACGCTGGGTTAAAGCACCAGACTCGGTAAAACTCATCCTGAACGCCATGGCGTGTGGTGGCGGCCGAGGTCCTGGGCCAAGGACGTTCTGTCTCTGATCTGGGCTGTCTGCACGTCAGTTTGTGAAAATTCATGTACGTGTGTGCACTTCGGATGTGTGCGGTTTTCTGGGTACGTGATATACTTCCATAGGAAGTTCAGGAAGGAGATAAACAGGGTTAGCTGCAGGCAGAGAGGAAGGCGACCTAGGAGGACGACGCCATTTCCTGAAACACGGCTCTGCCCTCGGGCTGAAGGCCACTCACCTGGGGAGGCCGTGAGGGCCATTACACCGTAATAGGAAAAAGCACTGGCTTCGAACTTCATACCTTCCTTCCCAGCTTCTACTTCCACCTTCCCCTGCGGAGAGAAGAGGGAGGTCTTCAGTCCACACGCGTGCATCTGCTTGCAAACCCGGGGAAGACTGGTGCTTCCTGAGGGCCTGTCTAACCCCTTCCCCGCCATCCCGGGAAGTAACCCTCTGATCCTCATCCCCAAGGAGAGAGTCCTTCTACTCAAACATGAAAACTAGGTTTGGCTGGGGACCGAGGCGGCAGTAATCTCTCCGGTCCATTAATATCTCCCAGCACCATAGCTGTGGCTTCCTCAGGAGCCCTCCCGCCATGAGGAGACTGATGCTCTTCCCTGTCAGAGGACAGACCCTGAGAAGATGCTCAGGGACGGGGCCAGGCTGTCCTGCAGGAGCCACGCTGGAGCAGAGTGAGGGTGAAGGGCCAGCATGGTTGTGGCCAGGGGACAGAGAGGGTGAACTGGTGCCCAGGGGCGCTCTGACCAGCACGATCCCCTGAGCAAACGCTCAGCCGTCCTGCAGGCCAGCCCCTCCCTCCCCCACGTCCGGACTCCCCGGAGGCACCGTGCCCCCTGCTGCCAGAGGCTCCTTAAGGAAGTCTCCTCCCTCAGGACAGCGCCTCTTCCTTTTCTCCCACTTGTCTGCATCTCCTTCACTCACACCAGTTCCCGGGACAGACCTCCCTCACTCATCCCTGTGGCAGGAGGGTCCCAGGGTCCCTTCGTGGGAGATGCTCCAGGTGTGTTTTCTGGGCGGCTGCCATGCCTGGTGGCCCTGGGTTTCCAAACCCCGGCTCAGACGGCCTCACTGCCTCTGGGGGAGAGGGGACCCTCATGGGGCACGAACAAAAAGGTGCCACTTGTGACGAGGAACTGTGCTAGCCAGTCACCGCACTTTGTTAACTCATCTGTGCTCCCACACAAATCCGGGGTGGGGCTCAGGAAGATTACGTAACCGGAGAACAAGCTCTTAACCAAGATGCGACCTATGCCAACCCCCAACGCAAACTCTTTTACTTGGTTCACTCCCCATTATTCTAAACTAAATCCCCGATTACGGAGGACTTTCTCAAATCACTTCAGAAAACTATCCGTTGTCTCTCTCAGGCTCTCCTTCCCTCAATGGCTGTTAGTTTTACCAACTCCCACTAATTCTCTTGCCATAAGAAATGAATGGAGTGGGTAAGAGGAAGTGCCTGGAAAGAGAAAAGGACCAGACTGCATGCATCCCGTGACCAAGGAGGAGGAGAGACAAAAACCAATATGGAAGCAATGGATAAAACAGACAAAAAGGATCAGACAGCTGTGTTACCATAGAAACTAGGGGGGGCGGGGCTCGCAAATAAAGGGAGGGTCAGAGTCACAGAGGTGGCAGTCGCTGGCGGCCTTCGCGAGTATCGGGAGTATCATCAGGAGGAGGTCAGACAGTGAGGGGAAGGGAGAGCGGGTGGGAGAAAGCACAGGCACAGGTGAGGAGGGAGGGCCGCCAGGCTCCATTGAAGGTGCCTTAGGGTCAGGGAATCCAGTGCACCAAACTCATTAAACACCTCCACAAATCCTTTTAATCCAGCACTACCGCTACTTATAACACCCATGACATCATCAGTTCAGAAAACTCACTGCGTTTGTATAAATATATAATTGCATAGGTATCCCAATGCCGGCACATACACATAAACGCCTTGTCAAAAACATCTGTATGTTAGATGATTTACTTGTAAATGGTCAGGGATTAGAAAGTCCCTCTACCAAATCTATTTTTGAGACCTGTCAGCCAGATAATGGCTCTCTTATATACCAACAGGGCATCACTGATTCATCAAGACTAACTATATAAAAATGACTACTCAAAGCATCCTAGTTTCCACTGTTATAACTGACATCCACAATATCAATCCTCGAAATTACCCTAAATAATCATTTTTAATGTAATCCAAAGTTTCTCTAGGGTTAAGGAATACTCACATCTAGCTTTATGAGAAACATAATAATTATTCCCTCACTGCTGTAAATCCCCCACAGCCCCTCAGAATTTCAAGCTTGTCCACTTCCCATAAAAGAAAAATAATTTGAAGTTGAATAAAACTAAGATTAATAGAAGAATAGGGTTTGAATTCGAAAACCCTTCCAAAAGAAGTTTCTAAGAAAGACTGTATCCAAGTGGCATGTGACCAGTTAACCCGTGGGTTTTTCTACAATTCCTCACTTCTGCTTCCAGATGCCACAATACTGTCTAAGCACAGGCATGGATACAACACTTCCCCAAGTTTCTGACACAGATATCTGATAAGCGTTCCTTTCAAACAAAGAGAACCTTCTTCATTCACTTAGAAAATTGGGGCCTTGCTGGACTCATGTAAATTTTAGGACCTACCAAGTACTGATTACACTCTTATAATGATATCTCCAATTCATCTCTTAGAATTAAGCAAGAAATATAAGAATGCTTAAGGGGCTAGTATTCTTATATTGAAATAAACTCAAAATTTCCTACAAAGTAATTCTTCAATAAAGAGGTACAAGAAGTGAATAAGACCAGCATTTTTTCCGCTCTAATGTTCACCTTGGTCTCCATGCCAAGGACGGTTCTAGTAGGTCATTCTGTGATATCATCAGTGTCTCCTGACAACTCAGGCATCAAAGCCCCAAGGAGAGCTCACACTGGCTCGACCTTCCCACCGTTCACAGTGGATTATGTTGTAGTGAGAAGGAAACAAGTCACCATTGCCACGAGAGGCAGTGATTATGACATCAGTTACCCTGTAAAATCAGTCTGGTTAGTAACCAGGAATAAAAAAACAACAATAAATGAATTATTTAGACAGTACGAAGGGAAGAGATGGTAAGATATAGCCCTGAAACTAAAAGAACAAATCCTAAGAAGAGGACAGGGAAAAAAGATAAAAATAGGACCCAAGGAACTCAAGACGCTTAAATTTTAAATGTCCAGCCAAGATTTAGACAAGCACAGGTAATTCCCCAAAGTCTTCAAAAAATACTAACAATTGAACTCACCATTCTTCATTACTATTCACTCTTTCTCTATAATATAAGTGTCAACCAAATTCACAATCAACAATGACGGATGGACATACATGCATGCGACTGGCGCCAGTGAGAACTTTATATGTATTGCACATGCTCAAGTCAATTTAGCCTTTTAAAGATATAGAATAAACTTGCTTAATTAGACCTGCTTTCTGATTTAGCTAAACTTTTTCCAGGCCAGTGAAGCACCCCAACTTTTCTTTCAGGTAATTGTCAGCAACACAGCAGTACATATCAACATGAAGCAGATTATTATTGTAGATCATGCAGGGAAAACAAAGGGTAAAATGTTAACTGCAGCAGTATTTGATTATATTCTGCACAGTGAGAAAACCTGAAGTCATTTTTAAGGTCCACTATTTCTTACTATTTTTCAGTTGGGTCAAATTAGCATTCTAAGTCTCTGTTTTCCAGCTAATGGAAAGAAAATAGGATTCCACCGAATCTCCTATCTACCTACTCCAGGACTTCTGTGAGAATCAAATGAGATGAGGCACAGGAAAATACTTCACAGAGTGTAAAATGTTTGCACCTGGCTATAAAGTAAGTCGTGTTCCTGGGTTGAAGAAACTCCAAGGAGGCTAGCTGCTAGGGAGAGGAAGCCAGGCTTTGCTATGTGACATCATTACCCAGCAGAAACTTAGCATATTAGCCATATATATATATATATATATATATATATATATATATATTTTTTTTTTTTTTTTTTTCTTTTTACAGGTATGAAAACAGGGAGATGAAATTCTCCACTTTCATGACCACCCCAGAAGTATGTAAATTCCAATACCCGTTCATCTAGACCAAATCTCAGAACTTGAAGAGTGGATACTCAATGAGATCAAACAGCTACTGAATAATTCTCTGACCTGCAAAATGAGAACGAAGTAGTCTACAGGTTTGTTGCGCTGGTAGAGGTAGTATTCTGGGGCTTTCTTGTTCTTCTCATCATACTTCAGTTCTTGGATGACATTGGGGTGCTTTAGCAGCCTTAGAAGGATCTTCTCTGACATCTGGGATGGGCTAAATGCTTCTACTTCTATAGATATAAACACAACTTGACATTACACTTCAAATGGACAGAAAATATTAGACTAGTGATTCAGGTATTTGGGTAATAAGAATACTAGGAATTAAAGTGATACAATATGGATTCATGAGACTTCCATTTGGTGATCCATTGGGGACAGATTACCTGGGAGAAATTAGAAAATGCTGCATTTTCATATTTGTTTATTTAAAATTCTTCCTTTTCAATCTGCCATTGGGTTTAGTTCTCGTAAGAACACTCTGATTTTCTGACGGATACAAACGAAAATCAACCGGCAGCGGGCTCCTTGACTGCCAGGATGTCCTTCAACAGCCACAACAGCCTGACTCTCCAACAACAGCCAAAGGAAGAAGCAATGGTCAGGAAGCATCTAGCTGTGGGTTAGTACCAGGTGCACAACGCAGGGCCCTGCAGCTCCATCTCCCACTCAACTGCCCTGAGGAAGTCTGGGGACCAGGGACTCGGAGAGACTCAGGATAAAAACAAGGCACGTGCACATATCAACATGCACTCCAACTTGCTAATTTAAAAAAGTTATGTTCATCTCTATTTACAAAGACATTCGTCTTATTTAAAGTAAAAGCCAAAATTACTGATTTAAAGCTGCTATACTGAAACTGGACTTGAGACGGTATCTCAGAGGCAGAGTAGGATAACATTTTGTTTTAAATTATGGTTCTTGGGTGATGAAGAATATCACAATTAGAGAAAGAATAAGCAAGTAAGTTAAAAATACTGCTTATAGGTTTTAAAATGTTTAAATCATGTTATGTATGAAAAATATAAATTCTGTATTAGCTTCTGTGTTGGTTTTTTTTAGTAATAACAAGTAATACATGGTAGAAATTTTGGAAAAAGACAGAGAGGACAATAAAAAATGACCTATAAACCAACCACTGTGAGCAACTGGTGATGAGCATTTCCTTCCAGTGCCTCACCTAGGCCTGTGCCTGTGCGTACGTCCAAAACAACAGCTATCACCTTCCTGCACATACAGATTTACACCCTGTTTTTTCCTCACTTTACATTAAATGATGAGTGTTTCCCCAAGTTGTAAATATTATATTGTGAGCATTTCCATTATCTGAAAACGTGATTTTAAAAAGTGCACAACATCCCCACATGTGGCTGCTGTTGGCCTTCTTTTCAAAATGGTCTAAGTGCACTGCCCGCAGTTGGAAGGTGCTGGCTGCCCATCCTGGACAAGATGTTTTCTACAGGTCACGGGAACCTTCTCTCCTGCCCCCTGGCCAGCAGAGCTCAGCCTTTGCCTACAGAGCCCTGGGGGTGTGAGAAGGGTGAGCCAGTCTCTCAAGTCCATTCAACCTGTATGAAGCGGACAGGCTGGGTTGGTAGTTTTAACCATGTGCACACTTGCCTCCTGGGATGGGGCCAAGTTAACAATCTGATTTGAAGAGGCCGTCAAGAAATCCATGTCAAAGTCCTCAGAATTTCTGATTTCATTTAACCCATCAGAGAAAGAGATTGCATTTTGAAAATTCTGTTTTTCTTCTTTGTAAGTCATAGCACCTGTATTCTCACTGACATCCTCTGCTCCTCCAAGGCAAGCTGAAGAGAGAGCTACTCAGCTGTCCGACACACAACCAGGTGGTGTCTGGCTCACTGTCAGCCTACTCCGCCCGCTGGCACTCCCAGGGGCTTAGCTGGAAGCAGAGGACCTGGCCTACTGTTCACATGCAGTGTGGCACTGACATTCATCCTTACCTTTCAGACCAATTTAAGTTACTGGTCCACCTGGTAAATGTCTCAGAGTTCATGCCGACACTGAACATAGGAGAGGAGAGAATTTAAAAAGAAAAAAACAAAACTAAAACAAAACACAAACGTGGCATTGCTGTTCACCCCGCTTCCCAGGCGCCGCCCCAGCCCACCCTAGTCAGCAGTGGGCGAGAAACACTGGCTCCAGGGTTGGTCGAGATTTCAAATTGTGATAAGAGGCACTTGCCTGTTGCTAGGAAACGGTGCATAGCCAAGAGAAGCTGTGGTGATATTTTAACCTTCATCTCGCTGTCTGTCTGCTTAAAGGCGGAAAAATCTTGCTTTCTTTCTCGATGGGCTACTTTCTTTTTCGTTCTGTTATCCGCTGAGGTAAGAATAAGAAAAAAAGTAAGGAAAGGCATTTCATTAGATCAGGGCCCTTTTTTAAATGGAAATAAAACATACTGCAAAGGCTAGAAGAGAGAATGAGTCAACTGTCCAACACACAACTCTCTCCAGCTTGTGGGCACTCTCCGTCCAAACACCACATGGAAAGAGGACAGAAGACTCCTCAAGTCAGTGCTGCGCAGTCAGAACGGCAATCCCAAGTCAGTAACAGGCAACCTGATTAGTAGCAATGACAAATATATCTCATGGGGATCTGTAGAGCCCTTACAGGTACATTATTGGGAGCCTTGAACAAAATCCCTCCCCTCATAAAACTTATATAACCCATAGCAACCAAGGAGATGGCCCGGAGTGTCCACAGTCTCCCGCTCCTGTGTCCTGCACAGTGAAGAACAATCACTGTCACAGGCGACACGAAGGAAGTGTGTCCCTGCCTTTGACAGGCTTCTCGCCTGTGCTGAGAGATAAAACAAATATCGGAGCACGATCTCTTAAGAAGCAAACCAAAACACTTTCATAGAACGTCACTTTAACAGTACATCAGTAGCCCTGGCCAGCGTGGCTCAGTTACTTGAGCATTGTCCTGTGTACTGAAAGGTCAGTGGTTCCATTCCCAGACAGGGTGTATGCGGCAAGCAACTGATGTTTCTCTCTCACATCAATGTGTTTTCGTTTTTTTGTTTTGTTTTGTTATAAGAAGAGAAACTTTATTATTATTTTTACATATTTATTGATTTTTTTTTTTACAGAGAGGAAAGGAGAGGGACAGAGTTAGAAACATTGGTGAGAGAGAAACATTGATCAGCTGCCTCTTGCACACCTCCTACTGGGGATGTGCCCGCAACCAAGGAACATGCCCTTGACTGGAATCGAACCTGGGATCCTTCAGTCCACAGTCCGATGCTCTATCCACTGAGCCAAATCAGTCAGGGCACATGAATGTGTTTTGTTTTAAAATATATTTTATTGATTTTTTACAGAGAGGAAGGGAGAGGAAGAGAGAGTTAGAGTGCGCAGCAGCTGCCTCCTGCATACCCCTTACTGGGATGTACCCGCATCCAACGTACATGCCGTTGGCAGGAATCAAACCTTGGCCGACGCTCTATCCACTGAGCAAAACCAGTTAGGGCACATCAATGTTTTTCTCTCTTTCTCTCTCTATTCCCCTCTCTCTAAAAAAAAAAAAAAATCAATAGGAACATTTTTTTAAAAGTAGCATCTGTTAGCTTTATTTCTACCTAGATCCCAAGATCCTCAAGGTCAAGCAAAAATGAAGAAAGTGATCCAGAACAGAAGTTAACCAGCTTCCTCTGTAAAGGACTAAACGGTAAATATTTCAGGCTCTGAAGATCATGTAGTCTCTGTTACAACTACTAAACTTTGCTGTTTAGCAAAAGCTGCCATATTGAATAAATTAGGCTGTGTTCCAATAAAACTTTATCACAGACATATTTTATTTTCATATCATTTTCACGTCACAAAATAATTATTCTTTTTATTTTTTAACACAATTTTGAAATTCGTAGCTTGTGAGATACACGAAAACAGGTAACAGGCATTTGTGGACTGTAGTTTGCCAACCCTTGATCTAGAAGGTCTAAGGCAAAGCTGTCTTCAAGTATTTTCCTGGACAAAATAATAACCAAGAAAAACACTATATTAAAGACAAGGCCCCGAGTGCTTGCTCCTTTCCCCAAAATCCAAAGTCTTTGTACTACCATTTGTACTACCATTTAATGTCTAGGGTGAAGCAAATGGCTTACTAGGCTTGTTTTGGGGAGAAAAAGATCACAACTTACAATGTTCTTCTATCTCACATTCAGAGAGTCAGACAGTTTAAGTCAACACAAAGACTTAAAATAATGTTCCAATGACAAAAGTTATCATGTCTGATCACTTATTTAACCAATATACACAGAACCATGTGTTCAGCATTTCATATCAGTAAGTTACATGTACAACACTTTAGTGTGAAATCAGTCTAACCAACGTTCGAAAGAAGTTCACTCAACTACAAATATAAGGTCTTATAAATGTCTAAATTACCTTTCTTATGATGAGTACTACCCCTGGGGAAACACATAAATATACAAATACACACTTGGTATTAAGTAGTCATTGTGAGGAACGATGGGAAAAAAATGTAGGCACACATGACAATATTCTGTATCATGTGATCTCTGACTCTTCCCAAGTGTCAAAACCACATTGACACTGGAGTGTTTTAAGAACACTATTGAGATGCGAGGGGAAATAAGATACTTTTCAGAAGCAGGTCACTGGCTAATTATAAAATCTATTCTTTTAAAGGGTACACGGAAAACTTTCTCAATTTTAAAATAAGGGACATTCAGTTCTAGTGGAACTACATAAAATCACTTTGCCCGGAGTGCCTCAGGCCATCTGAATGATCTGTTCCAATCTTGTTTCAAAAACCAAACAGCGCCCGGCCTTTATCCACCTGTGAGACCCCAAACATCTCAGGCCGTGGGACACCTTTGGCATAATGGAGCTTTGCCAAGAATGAGGCTGAAGAAGGTTTAAGCTGCCCAGTCAGACGATCCAGTTGTACTCACATAGAACAGGATTCAGGTTCAACACTCAGCCAGCATCCAGCCTATTCCTGGGCAAGCAGTGTGCATACTCCCTTCCACTTCCCTGGCCCACACTACTCCCCACCCCAACCCCAAAGGGGCAGAGAAGCAGAAAAAGAAAGGGAAAAACACACTTTATTGTGTGCCCCACCCTGTCCTGCCTCCTCTGCCCCATCTCACCACCACTGCCCCCAGCAAAACCACACCTGCAAACTTCACCTTTACTTTCATCTGTCAGAACTAGAAAATTTAAACCATTGCTATCCATCAATTTAATAAATCCCCTCACTTTTTAAGTACTTGAATTAAGACCTTAAGTAGAAACAGAAAATTGCTTGAAAACAATTTACCTAATCGAGCAAAATGAATTTTCTGGTCAGGGGAAGTAAATGCTCAGATCAATGGTGAGGAGCAGCCGGCTTTTCAAAAAGAAAGAAAGAAAACCACATTGTCACTTGACATTATAGGACCTGCCCTGCTTGCCCCTCTCTGGTAAAGAGACTGGATACACCAGCAGGTCGCACACTGCCTGCACACACAGCGCATAACTGGAAACAGGCGAACAACAACTGGAGAGATGCCAAATGACTCACAAACAACATGATCAGGAAAGCAAAGGTTTGGGGAAATTGCTCTCAGGCAAAACTACTCACTGTATAAGTCTGTTTCATCCAGGATCTCTGATTTGATGATTTCTTCAATCACATCTTCTAAGGTGACAATCCCCAGGACTTCATAAAATGGATCCCCCTCTCCTTCATTGTTAACACGCTGCACAATAGCCAGGTGAGATTTACCTTTGAAGAAAAGAAAGCAAAGGTTAAGAGGCAATTTTTTGAATCAAGTGTTAGGTATGATTATGGGGGGAGGGGGGGAAGAACAGAGGCAAACACAGATACCAGATGATCAGAGTGTGCAGTTCAACATTTAAAAATGCATTAAATACCCCAAGCAGAAACAGATGGTGAGCCATCAAAAGCAAGACCAGGTAAGCCAGAATATCACCTTCTACACACACTGCCTTGCCCACCCCCCACCCCCCACCCCCATGGCCACCAGGTTCTTAATAGAATTTCTTCAGTGACGGCAGCTCTTCCTCTGTGACCTTTTGGCAATTGGCACTTTACTTTAGGAGAGCAGTTCCTAAAGCGAGGTCTGGGACCCCTAAGGACGCCCAAGCCCATTTTATAGGCAGTCTGCCAAGGCAAATGGTTGGCATTTTGAACCAATGGTGCCTGAGGACAAATCAAGGCAGTGATGGCAAAAATGTACTAGCTCTACGGGGTTCTCTACCACCATGGGCAGTAATGGGGTGGGGGGTTCCATTTCTCTTAAGAATATCCTTAAGCCGGGACCGGTTTGGCTCAATGGATAGAGCGTCGGCTTGGGGACTGAAAGGTCCCGGGTTCAATTCCGGTCAAGGGCATGTACCTTGGTTGCGGGCACATCCCCAGTAGGGGGTGTGCAGGAGGCAGCTGATCGATGACTCTTTCTCATCGATGTTTCTAACTCTCTATTTCTCTCCCTTCCTCTCTGTACAAAATCAATAAAATAAAATTTAAAAAAGAATATCCTTAATAAAGCAGTAAGTGCTTTAATTCCATTAAATCTTGGCCCCAAGGCCCTGTCTTTGAATATTCTATGTGACAAAAAGGAAGGGCATGAAACACGTGTGCTGCCTTCAGAGGTGTGATGGCATCGTGAGGGAAAGCACTTGCACAATTGGTTCCGGCCACTCTTCACTGAACAGCACTGACTTGAAAGAATGACTGCTAGACAGACCTCGGTATTTAGCTTATTGGGCAGACACTTTCCTAAAAGTGAACAAAATGAGCCCATTGCCGAAACCTCTTTGGCTCAGTGGATAGGGCGTCGGCTTGTGGACTGACAGGTCCAGGTTCGATTCCGGTCAAGGGCACATCCCCAGAAGGGGGTGTGCAAGAGGAAGCTGATCGATGTTTCTCTCTCATTGATGTTTTTAACTCTCTATCCCTCTCCTTTTCTTTCTGTAAGAAATCAATAAAATATATATATTTTTAAAATTCTCTCCTTCTCAGGGTCTACTTTCCTTATTTAAGAGGTTGACTAGACCAGTGGTCAGCAAACCGCTCTATTGACTAATGAGTTTGCCGACCACTGGACTAGACTAAATGTCCATGTGGCTCTAGAGTGGCAGTTTGCCAACCACTGGACTAGACCAATGTCTCCTAAATTCACCTAATCATAAGAATTACTCTGAGGTGCCAAAACCGGTTTGGCTTAGTGGATAGAGCGTCAGCCTGTGGACTGAAAGGTCCCGGGTTCGATTCCAGTCAAGGACATGTACCTGGGTTGCGGGCACATCCCCAGTAGGGGGTGTACAAGAGGCAGCTGATCGATGATTCTCTCTCATCGATGTTTCTAACTCTCTATCCCTCTCTCTTCCTCTCTGTAAAAAAAAAATCAATAATATATATATATATTTTAAAATGAGCCCATTCAGGAAAACAGCAGCAGCCTTTGCTGCCCAGGACACCACAGGCAATGCTCACCTTTGCGCCTGGTTATTCGGGCGGCGTCCCCAGCTTTCTGCCCTCTAAAGGCACTCACTCTAGTTTCTGTGTTTTGGAAGCAGGTCTAGCCTAACCTCAGGGAGAAGGGAGAATTAAACTACTTCCTGGAGTGGGCAAGGACCTAAATATATTATCCATAATTCTTCTCCAAGGAAGATTGCAGACCAAAGGATTTTAATCCAACTGCGCCCAAGGTCCACTTATGGAGTTTTGGTGCAGTATCAAGAGAATACCCACGATTATTAAAAAAGAAAAAAGAAAAGAAAAAAAAAAGGCTGTAGATGAAAGTAGAGGTGAGGTTTGCAAGTGTGGTTTTGCTGGGGGCAGTGGTGGTGAGGTGGGGTATAGGAGGCTGGACACACATAAAATGGTTTTCCCTTTCTTTTTCTGCTTCTCTGCCTCTTTTTGGGAGCAGGGGAGAGGGGTAGCCTGGATCAGGGGAGGGGGAGGAGAGTATTCACACTGCTTGCCTAGGAGTAGGCTAGATCCAGGGCTGAGTGTTAAACCTTTTCCAGATACACATCTGTTTGAGGCCAGATTTTCTTCATATACTTCAATTAAAACAGTTGTACTGCACCGACTGAATGCAGAAAAAGTCCAGCTGCCTTCCACTTAGCTAGATAATAAAGATTTACCAAAAAAAAAAAAAAAAAAAAAAAAAAGGGTAAAACAATAACACTTAATACTCTTATTTTGGAAAATAGTGATTTTAAGTTCAGTATTATTTATGTTAACATGAAATGGGTTTGTTATTGTCTGTTCAAATTAATTAAGAATGTTTTCAATTTCTCAGATTTTCTTTTTGTTTATTGATTTTAGAGAGAGAGGATGGGAGGGAGGGAGAGAGAGAGACATCAATCTGTTGTTCAACCTATTTATGCATCATTGATTGATTCTTGTATGTGCCCTGACTGGACATCAAACCCACACCTGCACTTATAGGATGATGCTCTAACCCACTGAGCGGACCTGGCCAGGACCTCAGGTTGAATATCAACCAACAGGGAAGAACACATGCTCTGAAGTCAAACCGAACCGTCCTGGATTTGAACTCCAGCACTGCCAGTTAATTAGCCACTACTGGCTGTGTGGTCACAAGCAAACTACGTAACTTTCCTGAGCCTCAGTCTGCTCGCGTCCAAAAGTGGGCTCATAATCACTGCTGCCCAAGAGACTGTAGTGAATTATCATCAGAGATAATGTCGGTAGGGAGAGCAAAGACAGTGCCTGGGATCCCAGAGGTGATCAATATGGAACAACTCCTATTCATTTTTTAATGTTCTTCCTCAAGTCTAAGGCATCATCAACTTATTTCTGGCTTAGTCAGAGGGAAGGAAAAACTCACTACATTATATGTGCACCGTGATTAAAAGATGTACTTCAATATCAAAAAGATCTTTTAAAATATTAAACACATTTTTCACATTAATATTGGTGTTTCCAGTTCAGGGCATGTGAAGCATCTGAAATGTATCCTAAATTAAGCCAAGTAGACATAGTATAGAAATTCCATGATCAGTTAACACATATATTGTTGTGTGTGTGTGTGTGTGTGTGTGTGTGTGTGTGTGTGTGTGTTTTAATCACAGGATGGGGCTTTTGGGGAGCTAGGATGGAGGAGCAGTCCTTGAAATAAAGTTTACTTAAAAGTAGGAGTCAATCAGCTTCCCTTGGACACAGCCAGCGACACTAAAATGTTCCCTCAGGCCAGGTCTGCTCACGTTCCCAGCAGCGCTCATTCAGAAACTGCCTCGGGCTCTGCAGGTTGGCTGGCCTTTCCTGCTTTGGCTCAGGCCCCTTGAGAGGCAACCAGGCCTGGAAGCCTAGAAGGTTAGATGGTTAGACAATTAGGCATCCTAACAATTTTCATCCTTAGCGTGCTCACGCTCAAAGAATGAAAATACTTCCAGCAAATGAAACTAGGGGAAAAAACTTATCAGCAATAGATATAAACACCGCATCGGGGTCAAGTCCATTCCAGTCTAGTCAATTCAGTCTGGTGAGTTTCTCACATCTGCTTTCCCAAGAACCCAAACATAAGCAGTTAAAAATTCTTGGTCAGTGCTGTCTGTCGAAAGTTAAATTCTTTTGCTATTCCCAGCTTGTGATCATTTAAAAGGAATTTTCCAAAGCAAGGTCTAATATTAGACTCAAAATGAAGTTTCCATTCCACTGAGGCGCTATTCTCACCAAAGTAACTACTGCATAATCAGATTGTCTTGGAGCAATTCGTTTAAATGCAGATGGACATACTTGGAATACCAGCTCTATAGCACCAGCGGATCGGACTGGAGAAATGGTTCATGTGAGTCAGGCTTCTTACACGGAAAATTACATGTTCTTAGGGGACCCCTCTCACACCCCACGTTCAATGCTGAAACTTTTGCATCTGCCCAGAGCCACATTCTTTTAGCTTTTGAATTCCTGGTGAGAAGTCCTGTTTTCTGAACTTTCTTGCTGGTAAGCAGTACAAAAAAAAAAAAAAAAAAAAAAAAAAAGTGACCACCCTCTTCTCTAATCATGCTGTAGGAGGCTAGCAATACAATGAATGCACCTATCACCCGCCACTTAATCATTTGCTGCAGGAGTTCCATCTTCTCATCAATGGAACAATCAACAGGGAGATGTAAGCAAGTTGCCAATACAGAAATTTAAAAAACTGAGCTCCAATAGCATCATTCTTAACCTGAGCATTGGAGGGATTCTGTCAGGATTGAAAGCAGAAAAGCAATTTTGGGGAACTTAACAAAAGACTCAACCAAAGACTAGAAAAGATAATGAACTGGTGGGTTCTTAACTTCCAAAGAGAAGAATGGAAATATAGCAATCAGGACAATATGCAATTATAGGTGCTAAATAACACAAACTTTTAAATATATGTAAATTAAACAAACTTGTTAAACTGTGTATAGAACAAATAAAGCGGGCATTGCTGTCACAATCAGGCTTTGGAGAGAGCCTTTTTGGCCAGCTGTGAGCACTCCTGCAGCGTTCCGGTCACCTCACACTGTCCTAGGAATGGAGGAAAAGGGATCACCGAGAGAATCAAAGCAGGCCTGTGTTCAGAGCACAGGGCTCTATGGATACATTGCCATTCAAATTCAGAAACATAAGCAAGTAAGCATGAAATGATCGTCTAGGCCAATGGTCAGCAAACTCATTAGTAGTCAACAGAGCCAAATACCAACGGTACAACTATTAAAATTTCTTTGGAGAGCCAAATGTTTTTAACTTAAACTTCTTCT